CTTTTATATTTCTTTTATTTCTTTTATTTCTTTTATTTTTTTTCTTTTATTTCTTTCATTTCTTTTATTTCTTTTATTTCTTTTATTTGTCCTTTTGATTTGACTTGGAAGTGTTTTAAATTTAAACAAAAAAGAATATAAATTAATTAGATTGGAAATAAATTACAAATAAAATAAGTAAAATTAATAAAATAAAATAAAATAAATTAAAATAAAATAAATCAAATAATGCAAAAAGACAAAAAGAGGCTTTTTGTTTTTTATTTCGCAGGCGGAGACAGAAGGAGACCCAGGTGAAGCTTTTTCAATTTTCAAATTATTTATTTATTTATTATTTATTATTTATTTACTTATTTACTATTTATTTATTTATTATGTATTTATTTATTATTATTATTTATTATTTATTTATTATTTATTTATTATTTATTTATTTATTTTTTTATTTATTATTTTTATGTTTGCAGAAAGCAGGGAGTCTTTGAAAGAAGAAGCTGCTGCGGTGGAGACGGAAATCAAAAGTTTGGAGGCGAGAAAATAATCTTTTTAAAAATGTTTTTATTTTTATTTTTATTTTTTATTCTTTTTAATTCTTTTTAATTCTTTTAAATCTTTTTTATTCTTTTTAATTCTTATAAATCTTTTTAAATCTTTTTAAAGGCTTTTAATTCTTTTTAAATGCTTTTATGTCTTTTGTTCTTTTTTATCTTTAATTTTATTTGAATCTCTTCAAATCTTTTTTAAATCTTTTTAAATGCTTTTGATTCTTTTAAAATGCTTTTAATTCCATTTAATTCCTTTTTATTCTTTTCTATTCTTTTTTATTTTTTTTTTCTTTTTTATTCTTTTTAAATCTTTTTAAATCCTTCTAAATGTAAATTCTTTTTAAATCTTTTCAAACCTTTTTAAATCTTTTTAAATACTTTTAATTCCTTTTAAATTTTTTTAAATCCAAAATGTCTCCAAACCACTTTTAAAATTCTTTTAAATTTCTCCAAAATGTTTCCAAAATGTTTTCAAAGTGTCTCCAAAATATCCCGGAAGTGTCTCCTTTTGCTAGTTGGTCATTTATTATTTCTTTGTTAATATGTCTTTTAATTATTTATTTATTTATTATTTTTATTTATTTATTTATTATTTTCATTTATTTATTTATTATTTTTATTTATTTATTTATTATATTTATTTATTTATTTATTATATTTATTTATTTATTTATTATTTTTATTTATTTATTTATTATTTTTATTTATTTATTTATATTGACTTCCACTAACTCACCAGTTCGTTTGCTGCTGCTGCTGCTGCTGCTGTGCTGCCAGGCTGCTGCTCGTGCTGCTGCTGCTGCTGCAGCAGCAGAGACGCAGCAGCTGCAGCAGACACAAAAGCGAGAAGAATTAAAAGCTGGAAAGGAGACTGAGAGACAGTTTCTGGAGGCCCAGTGGAAGGCAAGACTGTCTCTTTTTTTTGTTTTTTTTAATCTTTTTTTCTTTTTTTTAATCTCTTTTTTGTCTCCTTTTTGTTTCTTTTTTGTTTATTTTTCGTTTCCTTTTTGTCTCTTTTTTGTTTCTTTTTTGTCTCTTTTTTGTTTCCTTTTTGTCACTTTTTTGTTTCTTTTTTGTCTCTTTTTTGTTTCTTTTTTGCCTCATTTGTTTATATTTTTATTTGTTTGTTTTTGTTTTTATTTATTTTTATTTTTATTTGTTTTTAAATTATTTATTTTGGATATTTAGGTGGCCCGAATTGCAAAGTTTGAAGAACTCAGAAGCATCCAATTAGACCCCGAAGGCCAACTAGCAGCACAAAAAGAAGTAACCCTAAACCCTAAACCCTAAACCCTAAACCCTAGGAAGTATTTAATTAGACCCCGAAGGCCAACTAGCAGCACAAAAAGAAGTAACCCTAAACCCTAAACCCTAAACCCTAATTTTATTTGTTTTCGCTTTTATTTAGCTACTTGCCCAGTGCCAAGAGAACGAAATGCGCGACCTCAAACCCTAAACCCTAAACCCTAAACCCTAATTTTATTTGCTTTCTGTTTAGATCCTGGCCCAGTGTCAAGAGCAAGAAATGCGGGACTTGAAAGAACTGCAAAGTCGAAACAGAATTTTGGTTTTAAACACTTTCCTCCACCAAGTCCAAAAAGAGGCGCGCCAGAAGTTCAAGTAGGGTTTAGGGTTTAGGGTTTAGGGTTTAGGGTTTGGGGTTTGGGGGGTGGGTGTAGGGTTTAGGGTTTGGGGTGTAGGGGCTGGGGGTCGCCCTTCAGAGTTTAGGGTTTAGGGTTTAGGGTTTTGAGGGAAGGGCCAATGGCTGCTGCACTCGGTAGGGTTTAGGGTTTGGGCTCGAGACATTAGGGTTTAGGGTTTAGGGTTTAGGGTTTGTGGGCGTGCAGCGCTGCGAAAGCTTCAGCAGCAGAGCAGCAAAGTGAAGAAAACAAAAATGATTTAAAAAAAGAAAATGACAGCAGCAAAACAGAAGAAGAAGAAGAAGAAGCAGCAGCAGCAACTTCGAAAGCAGAACCGAAAAACGCGGATGTCAGCGCGCCTGCTGCTGCTGCTGCTGCTGCTGCTGCTGCATGCGCTGCTGCTGCTGCTGCTGCATGCGCTGCTGCTGCTGCTGCTGCGGCTGCGGCTGCATGCGCTGCTGCTGCATGCGCTGCTGCTTCTGCTGCTGCTGCATGCGCTGCTGCTTCTGCTGCTGCTGCATGCGCTGCTGCTGCTGGTAGTAGTAGTAGGGTAGTAGGGGCGCCGCTGCTGCTGCTGCTGCTGCTGCTGCTGCTGCTTTTCTCTTGGGAGCTGCTCCTCTTCCTCTTCATGATATTGCTGCTGCTTTTGTTGCTGCTGCTGTGCGGCTGCTGCTGCTGCTGTTCCTAGTGCTGCTGCTGCTGCTGCTGCTGCATTTGCTGCTGTTAGAGCTGCGTAGTTTTATTTAGAAGTGCATGCGTTTTTGAACTGTCTGTACACCTGAATCAGGAATACATCAAGAGAGCCATGGATGCAAAGACAGCCGAAGTGAGCATCGAGGGTTTAGGGTTTAGGGTTTAGGGTTTAGGGTTTAGGGTTTAGGGTTTAGGGCGTATTGTTGAAAGTCTTTGCTGTACAGATGCTGCATGCAAATGCATGCAGCAGCCTGAAGCTTCTGTCAAACTAATTTATTTATTTATTTATTTATTTATTTATTTATTTATTTATTTATGTCTCTTACAGATAATTTATATATTTATTTATTTGCTTATTTATTCTAATTAAAGAAATTTAATTTTAAAATAAAAAAGGACTGCGGGTTTAAGAATTGGTATTATTTGGGGTGTCTATACACCGGAAGCGCATGCAGAAGTGTAAAGCCGCGGAATCTTTTTCGAGAATTAAAATAAATAATTAAAATATAATTATAATAATAATAAATATTTTTCAAACCCTAATTAATGAAAAACATTTTATTATTCTGCATTTGTGTTTTATTCTTCTTTTGCTGCTGCAGCTCGATGCAGAAGAAGCAGCAGAAATCAAAGAGTTGAAAGACAGACACTTCGCCGAGCTGGCAGAGGTCAAACCCTAAACCCCAAACCCTAAACCCTAAACCCTAAACCCTAAACCCTAGTTGTTTTCGCCTTAGAGACCGTAGACCCTAAAAGGTCTACCCTAAACCCTAAACCCTCTGCCCGCTGGACCTGGTCGCTCTCACGTTTCGAACTCATCCCAAAACCCTAAACCCTAAACCCTAATTTGGGGTTTTGCTGCACTGCAGATGGTGAACGACCAGAAGACGGCCACCATCGGCCCCCCGCAGAAGGTGATTATTTGTTTATTTATTTATTTATTTATTTATTTATTTATTTGTTTATTTATTTATTTATTTATTTATTTATCTTTTTATTTATTTATTTATTATTTCATAAATAAATGAATAAACACTAATTGGTTGTTTAATGCCGATGCAATGGCCCTCTGGGGTTTAAAAGCACTGCAGGAAAGCCCTGCATGCACAGGGACAAAAGGAAGCAAATAAACCAATTTAAGAAAATAAAATAAAAGTTTAATTAAATAAAAGTTTAATTAAATAAAAGTTTAATTAAAAGAACAAAACTAAAAAAGCCCCAAAGCCTTTGCATGCGTTCAGCGGGGGGTCTTCTTCGCTGAAGACGCGGCGCCGCTGCATGCAGAGGAGTCTGGGGCTTTGCATGCAGCAGCGCATGCAGCGCATGCAGAGGACTCTGGGGCTTTGCATGCAGCAGCGCATGCAGCGCATGCAGAGGACTCTGGGGCTTTGCATGCAGCAGCGCATGCAGAGGAGTTTGGGGCTTTGCATGCAGTGGCTGCGTGGCAGCAACGCATGCGTTCGGGCAGCGCTGCTGCGCTGCTGGCTGCGCGGGAGCAGCAGCAAGTGCTGCAGCAGTTGGAGGCTTTTGCGCGGAGTTTTGCGCAAGTTTTGAAAGAAGAAAAAGAAAGACAAATAAAGCTTTTGGAAAATAAAAAAAGCCAAAGACAACAAAGGAGAGAAGCCAAGGGATTCCACAGACGCAAAAGCTCAAACGCCAAGAGACACACTCGCAGAGTAGGGTTTAGGGTTTAGGGTTTAGGGTTTAGGGTTTGGGGCTTGGGGTTTGGGGTTGGCGGTTTAGGGTTTAGGGTTTGGGGTTTAGGGTTTGGGGTTTGGGGTTTGGGGTTTGGGGTTTGGGATTTGCGGCTTAGGGTTTCGGGTTTAGGGTTTAGGGTTTGGGGTTTAGGGTTTAGGGTTTGGGGTTTAGGGTTTAGGGTTTGGGGTTTAGGGATTACGCTCGCCGCGCTGCGGCTTAGGGTCTGCCTTCGGGGGTTTGGGGTCTTCGGTTTAGGGCCTGGAGCCTAGGGGTTTAGGGTTTTGAGCTTGCGCTTAAAGGCCGAGGGTTTAGGGTTTAGGGACTAGGGTTTAGGGTTTAGGGTTTAGGGTTTAGGGTTTAGGGTTTAGGGTTTGCTTCAGGGTTCTCGGAAGAGCGTTTTGGACTTCAAGGCTGAGCGGCTGCAGAGCGAAAGGGAAAGGGAGAAAAAACTCAAGTGGGAAAATCCTGAAAAATGCAATAAGTCGAATTCTAGGGTTTAGGGTTTAGGGTTTAGGGTTTAGGGTTTAGGGTTTAGGGTTTGGGGAACAAACAACCAAAACAGTTCCGATTTGAAAGCAAAGAAAACACGATTCTTTCTATTCTTTCAATTATAATCATTTAACAATTGGTGAAACAAATATAAAACCCTTTTTAGTGGTTTTTAAAGTTTTAAAAAACAAAATAAATTAAAATGGAAAACTTTCTTTCCAAACCCTCGAAGTAAACCCTAGAGAAAAAGCCACCAAATAAAATTGGCGAAGTGAAAAGAAAATGGAAAAGTTTAAATTTCAATTTGAATTTGAATAAATTTTTTAAATTAAAATTTGAATTTAATTTATTTTCAAATTCAAATATGTAAATTTGAATTTAATTCAAAAGTTCAAATTTGAATTTGAATTTCGTGAAAATGTTTAATTTAAATTTCAATTAATTCTTTTCAAGTTTAAGTTTGAATTTAATATTTTCCAAATTTAAATTTGAATTTAATTCTCTTTTAAATTCAAGTTTGAATGCAATTGAATATTTTAATTCTAAATTTAAATTTATTCTTTCGAATTCAAATTCAAATATAATGTTTTTTGTTTAAATTTGAATTTAATTGAAAAGTTTAAATTTAAATTTGAATTTATCACTTTTAACTTAAATTTGAATTGAACATTTTTTAAATTTGAACTTAATATTTTCAAGTTTGAATTGAATATTTTTAAATTTAAATTTGAATTTATTTAATCTTTTTTAGTTTGAATTTATTTTTTTAATTTTGAATTTTCTTCAGAGATGAAATTCGCGAAAAAGAAGAACAGCAAACCCGCTGGCACCCGGTGTACAGACAGATCATTGAAGAGGAGACAAAAGCTGCTGCTTTTGAAGCTTTCAAGGAGACACAAAACATAATTCGTGAGCTGCTGCTGCTGCTGCTGTTGCTGCTGCTGCTGCTGCTGTTGCTGCTGCTGCTGCTGCTGCTGCTGTTGTTGCTGCTGCTGTTGTTGTTTTTGTTGCTGTTGTTGTTGCTGTTGCAGCAGCAGCAGCAGCTGCTGCTGCTGCCGCCCAATTCCTTAGCCCTAAGTGCTGCTGCTGCTGCTCCGCTGGGCAGAAGAGGTTTCCCAAACCCTAAACCCTAAACCCTAAACCCTAAAAGGGTTTCTGAGAGCAGCTGGCAGTAGCCTGGAATTATGAACTTGGCTTTTCTTCTGCATGCATCTACAAGTTTGTGTATTTAAATAATTTAATTTCTTTGGATTTCCAAATGTGGATTTGTTTATTAAGTTTGTTTTGTTTTTATTTTTCAAAAAGAGTCTTGGCTAAACTGCATGCAAAACAACTTTCCTTTGCATGCAGCGCGGGGCCCCACACTTGTGAACATTGAGAAAGTTTTGAGTTCTTTAGAAGAAGGATCTTTCATGCGGAAGGCAGTGGCAAGTTTGGGGCTTTTAGCTGCTGCATGCGGCCCCCTAGCAGCAGCAGCAGCAGCAGCAGCAGCAGCAGAGACCAGCAGCACCGAGTCCGACGACAGCTCCATCTCCAGCGGCAGCAGCAACAAGAGCAGCAGGCAGCGCAGCAAGAAGCCGCCGCCCAGCAGCAGCAGCAGCAGCAGCAGCAGCAGTGAGGAAGAAGAAAGCAGCAGCGAGGAAGAAAGCAGCAGCAGCAGCAGCAGCAGCAGCAGCAGCAGCAGCGGCAGCGGCAGCGAAGGCAGCAGTAGCAGCGAGCAAAGCAGCAGCCACACGCAACCAGACAGCCCAACACAACCAACTGCAGCGCAGCAGCAGCAGCAGCAGCAGCAGCAGCAGCTAGCTCGCGGCAGCGTAGGTACAGCCTCAGAGGACTCACAAGAAGCAAAGCCTGCTGCAAAGCAGCAGCAGCAGCAGAGCAGCAGCGGCAGCGGCAGCAGCGACAGCAGCAGCAGCGATAGCAGCAGCGAAGCCAGTGGCGACACTAGCAGCGAAGAGAGCAGCAGCAGCAGCAGCGGCAGCAGCAGCGGCAGCAGCAGCGGCAGCAGCAGCAGCAGCGGCAGCAGCAGCAGCGCAGAGGGAAGCAGCAGTGAAACAGAGTCATCGGCCGTTCAACCGCAGCGGGCAGCCGGAGCTCCCGCAGCAGCAGCAGCAGCAACAGCAGCAGCAGCAGCAAACAAGTCATCTAGCTCCTCCGCCAGCAGCAGCAGCAGCAGCAGCAGCAGCAACAGCAGCAGCTCGTCCGATGAGGAGACACCACAGCCCTCTGCTCGCGCGCCGCAGCAGCCAGCTCCTGCCCGCAGCAGCAGCAGCAGCAGCAGCAGCAGCAGCAGCAGCGGGAGCAGCAGCAGCAGCTCTGAAGGGCCAGCACGGCAGCAGAGCAGCAGCAGCAACAGCAGCAGCGAAAATGCGCAGAGCAGCAGCAACAGCAGCAGCTCATCTGGTGACGACACCAGCAGCAACGGGAGCTCGTGAGGCCCCTGCGTGTCTGCTAGGGTTTAGGGTTTAGGGTTTAGGGTTTAGGGTTTAGGGTTTAGGGAGACTCATGAGCCGCGACCTCATGAATTGTCTCCCGTGAAAGCCCACATTTTAAAGAGTTTTGGCTACTTTATTTTGTGCTTTTTAAATTTGTTTTGTCTTTTAGGGTTTAGGGTTTAGGGTTTAGGGTTTAGGGTTTAGAGATTTATTCACAATTTTAATCTTATAATATTTATTTTATCTCCCCACGTCAATTTGTATTTCCTTGCATTTGGATGCATGCGCAAATTTGCGCTTTGGGGCTTTTTCAAGGGGGAGCCAAACCCTAAACCCTAAACCCTAGATCTCAAACCCTAAACCCTAGATCTCAAACCCTAGATCTCAGGTCCTAAACCCTAGGCCTCGGGATAAGACAAGCCCAGTGAGAGAATTAGGGTTTAGTTAGCTAGTCGAGGAAATGATAAACCCTACATGTCTGAGTTTCCTTGTAATTAGGACGAAGGATTAAAGCTCTAGGGTTTAGGGTTTAGGGTTTAGGGTTTGGAGATTAGGGTTTGGCCGCGTTCTTGTATGCGAGGACTAGAAGAGCCTAACTAGTTTAACCACTGCTCCGAGTTCAGGCTTTAGGGTTTAGGGTCTATGGTTTAGGGTTTAGGGTTTAGGGTTTAGGGTTTGGCATGAGGAGTAAACCCTTGCTGCTCACGCGATGAGCAATCTACTGGTGGCCCCAATTGCTGGCTTTTTAATTGATGGAAATATATTCATTTTAATTGATGAAAATATATATTTAAAATAAATAAAGATCAAAGAATAATTAAAACTGCTGCAGAGAAGGTGGTCAAGTGCTGCAGCGTGACCTGCTGCTGCTGCTGCTGCTGCTGCTGCTGCTCCTGCAGCACTGGAGGCAAGCGGCGTTTTGAAACGCCTGAACTCTTTTCAAGAAGGGTTCTTTGTTTAAATTCAATTTACAAGTAAATGAATTAAGTTCAATAAATAATTAATTATATTTCTGAAATAAAAGCCGGAGAGCACCGGTGCAACTCCAAAGAATCCCTTCTAGCAATTGTGCGGAACACTTCCGCAGCTCTCAGTGCTGCACGCAGCAGCGCAGCACAGGGGGATCTTCCTCGGCTTTTGCCGGGGCTTCTTCACGAGATTTCCACAAAAATAATGAAAATAAGCATTATAATAAATTCAAAATTCTCATTTTTATTCTTTTGAACGACAGATCGCCTCGGCTTTGCACGAGTCGCTGCAGCCCTGCTGCAGCGCTGGAGTGTACAGACAGCTCGCGGAACTTGCACGGAAGTGACCCGGCAGCGTTTCAAGTGGAAAGCTGATGAATTACTTTAATTATTGTCTATAAGATGATGAATTACTTTAAGTCAATGAGTAAAAAAGCTCAAACATTCAAGTCCAGCGAGTGATCAAAAGAATACAGAAAGACTGCGGCTTGGTGGTCTGGTTCTAGAGCAACCTGAATTTCCGTTGTTTCTCTCCAACTGTTTTTGTTCCTCTTTTCTGACACTTTAAACTTTCAATTCTTAATTTCAAATATTTCCCTCAGGCTTCTGGAGTGCTGTAACTACTCCTGTTGTCGTCGTTGCATGCGTCGCATTCAATTCAAACGCGCATGCACCTCACTGCGGCAGCCACATACATTGCATGCATGGCCGCATGCAGCTTACACATGCATTATTTTGGGGCTTTACTACTGTTCTGTTCCAGTCCTGAGTCTAAATTTATGTCTCTCTCACACCTGGCTACTCCACCATGCAGGCCCGGGGCTTCAAACTACCGGAAATAAACCAACAGCAACCATTAAAACTGGATTAAATTGTTTTTGAACAACTCTAAGGATGAATGTTGGGGCCTTTTCTTAAGTAGTTTATTAGAAGGCCGTTCACTTCCCTCTGAATGGAATTTCTTCATTGTCGCTGCGCCTGCTCTCCTGCCGCTTGAGTTCTTGAGCATTTTGTGTTTTCAAATTGCATTTCACCACTGGAAATTAAACCTTCAACTGTGTTTAAGAGATTCAAAGAAACTCGTGGCTGCTGCGGGCGGCTGTTAACTAAGGTTCTCATTCCTTGAAAGAACAAATTTAAGACAGATGAATTGAGACAAAAAATACAAAGTGGCGCGACAAACATTTGGGCTTCGCCATCTCCTCATTTGGCATTCTCTGGAGCTTTCTTTGGCTCGATGAGAACAGCTTGGGGCGAAGCATTTGCGCTTACTCATTCTACTTCTTTTTATTTCTTTATTAATATCTGTTGATCACCTGGAGTTCCTTTACTTGTTCTCCGGGCGTCTCAGACACGCAACATCCTCAAAAGATGAAGCTGCCACTTTGCATGCACTAGAAGGCTTAGATCTTCTCAGTCACTTCAGCCCGCCAGCGAGGGACCAGCACCAGAGCAGAAGCTCTCAGAAAAGAAAACTGTTTCCTCAAGGGGGGCCCCCACAGAGGCCTTCAAGGGCAAGGGCCCCTGGGGAAGACCCTGCAGGGGCTGTAGTCCGCAGGTAGTAAAATAGGGCTTGCTGGTGATCGTAAGAAGATAGCTAGCTGGCGACCTACAAGAGGTCATGCCGTTGAAAGGACAAGACCTTCTTACTAGTGTCGAAGTGAAGCAATTTGTCAGCAAACTAGCATGAATGCACTAGGCGTGTCTGTGAATACCTGGAGGTTGGGCTGGCGATAGCGCGTGCACCGGTGCAGGCCTCCTCCTCACAGGGCCAGGTGGCCAGAACGCCGAGTGGGGACATTTTCAAGAAAAATGGATTTAAAAAATAGAAATAAGTACATTATGTGATATTTGGACCATTATTTCACAGACATGCCCCGAAGCTAGAAGGTTATCATAGGCCCCTACTCATGGGACAGGCGGCAGCGCAGTCGCAGCAATGGGCGCTGTGAACTACAGGGCCCTTCTGTAGTACACTGCGTTCTATGCAGCGACTACGATGTTGCCTCGCCCACAACTTGGGCGTTTTATGAAGTACTCTATATTGTCGACGCAGTTCTCGTGTAATGTCTAGCAATTTACTAAAAGGACCATTTCTGCTTCAAGTTCTCAAAACCGTATTTCACAGAAGTCACTCCTCATGGTTCTTGCTTTGTTGGCCCGTGAGGATGTGACCCGCAGCGGTGCCGGCGTTGTCGCCTGCCCCAATCTTAGGGTATTTGTAGTCATTTCTAGTTCATACATGTTCTTCTGCTAATAAATTGCTTTTCTATTTTACTAGTAGGACGCTACAGCGCTCAATAAGCGTCGCAACCTCTTAAACGCTTATAGGTCATCAGTTAGCTATGCTCTATAGGTCAGCGGCAAGCCCTATTGCAGTGCCTGCGCAATACACCTTCACCACTGTGGGCCTCGCGTGCAGTTAAGGGTCCCTGTAGGCCATCTGTTGCTGAGGCGCTGGGACACGTAGCCTCAAGCGCGTGCTGGGGGATTTTCCTGAAAAGATCCCGAGTTCGGCAAGTTGCAGGATGCCCAAGGGCCCCAGAGAGAGCCCCCAGAGGGCCTGCAGAGTGCAAATTTTCCCGAGTTCTTCGCGTAGATCCGAGAGATAACAACTGGACCAATTCCTGGGACTCTTCAAGTGGTCCAATGGTTCACTCGCGGGATCACTGGAGCAGACCACTGTGGCCAACCACAGAGAAGAACAAGCCTAGCCGCAACAAATGGTAAACAAATTAGACAGAAGTATGATGAAACAAAATACAATAAGCAGAATGATCAACGGAGAAGCACAGGAACGCTTCCCAGCAACACAGTAAGTGTGGGAAGTGAGGAGCCACCTGTAGTGCACAGCACCTACTCCTGCGACTAAAGTGCACAGCGCCTAGTGCTGCAACTACGCTGCTACCTGCCCCTCGAGGAGGGCCTACGAACGGTACCTAACGTAGGCCCATTTCCTTGAAACAGTAGCTTCATTTATCGAAATGTAGTAATTCTTAAGTTATCCGAAATCTGTTGTTGTTCGATTCGCCCCACTCGGCGAGCTCGCCTCATAGGCCCTGTGGGGAGGAGGCCTGCGCTGGTGCCGGCGCTATCGCCAGCCCCAGTCTTCATGCATATTCAGTCACCTCTAGCGTATGCATATTAATTCGCAGACAAACTGCCTTCCTTTGATCCTAGTAGGAGGGTCCTGTCCTCGTCGAGTGCTGCGACCCCTTGTAGGTCGCTAGCTAGCTATCGTCTGTAGGTCACCAGCAAGCCCTATTGTAGTGCCTGTGCACTAGAAGGCCTGCACCGGTGCCGGCGGTATCGCCCCCAATCTCCGGGTATTTACAGACGCGTTTAGTGTATACACGCTAATCACCTAGAAAAACTGGCTTACTTCGATCATAGTAAGAGGCTCCTGTCCTCGTTCCGTGCTATGACCTCTTGTACCTCACCAGCTGGCTATCTTCTACAGGTCACCAGCAAGTCGTACTGTAGTGCTTGTGCACTACACCACCATTTATTAACAACGAGATGACGAAAAGGCTCAACCGGGCCATCACAGAGCCGAAAAGGAGTATAAGCGCGAGCCAGAGAAGTGAGCTTATTGCAATGCAGTTTAGAAACCCTAGCAGCTGTAAATTGCAAGTTACACAAGATGCAAGAAAAACTGTAGTGCAGGAAATAGCTTGCACGTTTTCGGAAGATGGCTGTAAATCCATACTGGTATTCAATGAACAAGAACCATTGATACCAAGTTAATTCTGTGTATTCAGGGCATTAGGGAAATAAGTCCCGTAGCCATGAGCAAAAAGACATCATGGTGCAATTCGTGCACCATACCGCAGCAAGAAATGCGCTTCTCGATGCATCTTAGATGTCATCACCGTAGAAATAATAACTGCACACCTGGCCGAAAGCATGCTTCCTGTGCGCAAGAGAAAATTTATTCTACAGTGATGCCTGCTGTGAACTGCTGCGGCCTCCAACGCATGTACATGGGAAAGTTTTGTTCTTAAAACATTTGGAGGAGAGCAGGGAAAGCAG